ATATATATATATATATATATATATATATATATATATATAGCATAGAATCCATATTCTAACACTTAAACACAAAGAAAAAATATACATATGACATTTAGAAAAAGCAATTAGCAGAAAAAAGACATCACAAAACTAAACATATGTATTTTTCTCCCCTTGTTTGAATCATCAGCAGAACGTGCTATAAAAAGTGATACAAAGAGACACTTTTACAGTATTAAATTGACAATCAGTAACAAGTTATAACCACTATTGACTGTAAATCAATAGCACCAATTTTGTAAAATGTTTTTGAAATTTTTAAATCCAATATAACCTCTATCTATCAACTGACAATACTACCGAAAGAATATAAAAATAGTCACACAAGTAAGCAATAATTTGCCATTGACAAAATCACTCGCTATTCAACTAAATAAAAACTGTTCCAAACTTGACTAGTTAGCACAATTATTCTTAAAAAATCTCCTTAATTTGGTCAATTGTACTTAAACGTTTTTGACCAAATAGACAAAAAAGAGAGAGTAGAAATGTATATTTATTTTGAAGCACAAGGTAAAGGACTACACGAAGTAAATATTTATATATATATATAAAAAGTTATAGCAAATGAAGTTAAACCATGAAGGTACTCAGAAATCTATTTTTAAGATATTTGAAATGCAAGGAAGTTCAAAAGTAAATGACAAATGTGTAATCAAATTAACATATTGGAAATTGATGAAATCTTTATCTTTGTAATATCTATATCACCAGACATGCATTCTTTTTTCTACTAATTTTCATAATTACAGTCAGGGTTTGTTGCTTAATAGTAGTTTTCTGCATTTTCAAAGTTTAACACCCATCGGTTAAGCTAGTGAATATATGCCAAAGTCTGGCACATGATTATCCAAATAGCCTTATTAGTACTTGTAAGTTAAGAAACATTTAATGAAACCAGGTAACTTGGCAAAGTTAACAGTATTTAAGAGTATTCTAAAACAATGAAGAAAAACCGATAAATAATAAACACAAAGTATAAGTTTGTAAAAATCTTCAAATTCAGAGAAATTTTTTCAGTGTTTATAAAATATATTAGTCCTTCTACTCTCAAGAGATCAAATAGATGCACATGGTCAACGCGGGGTTATTTTATACCCAACTTTTATTTTCATTATACAAGACACTTTTACAGAGTAAGTGACATATAATTCTTATAATAGAATATAAAACCTTTTCAATAATGAAATGGTACATTTATACCACGAAGAGGGTAGTACACTTAAAGTTCTCATGTTTAGAGCCAAAGAGTTAAACTGATTTACAATTAAAAATACCAATGGTCCTTGTAACATAAATCTACAAAAATCCTTCTCAACCACTTTGCACACATCTAGGGAACTAATTAAAATTCCAGTAAGTCTAAAACTTTTAATTTAAGCAAATGTGGAATATTTGTGAAAAGGTTATATGTATGTAGTTGTAATTTATTGTATAGTAAATAACACATGAAGGATCACATTCATTTTATGAACACAATTGTAAGATGTAAATATTTCACTCAATACTTAATGCATTAATGTTAAAAAAATAGTTGTAATACCTATCCATACAAATGAAACTTAGTTACCAATAACTGCAGTGATATGCACATATAAAAATACATTTGATACACATATTTGTTTTAAATTTTAGCTTCACACTTAAAATCATGATTTAAGTGCTTTGTCTGAAGTGGTGTCCCTTCTCAAACTTACAGGTCTATTCATTATCAATTTATGGAAACATCTAAAACAGAAAGTTTACAAATAGCATATATAATGCATAAAAAATAATCTGGTTGGTTGGTTTTGTTGGTAGAAACCATTCTATTAGTTTTAACTTCCTAATTGTTTACATGACTGATTAAATTATATAGAATTATATTTCTCAAACATATAAAAACTCCCTTATTATCACTCCACTTCATATTCTCCTATCCACTTATGCATTATTTCTTAAGTACTAATTATTTTTAAACATCTATTAACTAACAATAATGTTCTGCATATATTAAATGCTACTTGGTGGTTACTGATGATAACATACAATTTTTTGAGATATTCTGGCATTTAAACACTATATACATTGGTTTAATACATATTATATTTTATACTGTACAGTTAACCTTTGCAAAATGGTTACTTTGTTTTGAACAATAGAAGCTAACTGAAGCTTTTGATATTTTGGGTTTTTACAAACAAAATACTAAACTGATGATAATGGTAATGTAATATTTCTTGGACTTTCTTATCTTACATTTACAGTAAAAGAGAACACTTTGAATATTACTTGGTGTACTCTGTAGATTATTCAAATGTATGTTATCGTAAGTAAACACAACATTTTATAACAGGTTTTCTATATGACATTTATACATATGGGAGGTTGTGCAATTTTTTAATTCCACATAGTGGGTCAAAACAAGAAAAAAGCTACTGAAAAAATATTCTGATTTCTTTCCCCTTTAAACACTTGAAAATGAATTAGATGGAGGTTAGTTAAGAAAATGCTTGGGTTTTAAGTGTAAAACAATTACCCAAATGAGTGAAAAGTAACTTAAATTGTTGTTGAAAATACTTTTGATTGCTAAACTCATACTTAAATGGAAAAGTTGGCTCAGTGTTCAGACAAAATTCTTCAATTTACAGATATAAACACACATATCTTTAATAAAATAGTACACTCATTCTCAGATCATTCTACAAGGTATATTTCTGAGTTTCAAACAAACTAAAAATTCTACTGCTTCTGTTTTTGTAACCTATTTTAATGACACATGTATTATAAGTTTAAAAAATTTCTTGTGTCACTCATTCACTATATCTATAACCTAAAGGTACCATATAAACACAAAATTAACATTAAGTAATTACCTAAAAGCAAATAAATCTGTAAAACCACTTAAGACTTGTATATAAAAAAACCAGAAATATTAAGAAGTACTCAAAGAAACACTGACAATGCACAATTACACAAATTACACTTGCATATGAAATACTACACACAGAAGCCATGAACTATTGATGGACTATCAAATAGAACAGTGAAGCCCTGAGTGTTTAGGATAACTGTATCTGAAAATCTACAATACATAATAAAACAGTTACTTTAATATATAGTTTCTAGTAAATAAAGCTGAAGAGTAACAAACAAGAATAAATATTTCAAAAGTTACAGAGAATGCCAAATGCAGAAGTTCCAACACTATCACAACAATGTAGGATGTTATTTGTTATAAATTATAGTAAATAGGAAAGGTTTAGTACAAAAACAAATTCATCATGCCAGTTTATCAATCACAACATGAAGTCTAAGATTAGAACAAATATTACAATTTTTAATGCATCATGCCGACAAAATTAATGAATTATTCATTTAATAGCTCCATTCTATTTTCAAAACAACTAACAGCTGAAAGGATAATTGTTTTTAGTAGATGGAATATTGTAAGTGTTACTAAAGGCAACTTGCAGGAAGAATTCCTTTTAACATCAATATATACATTTTATGCTGCTGTTAAACATTCTAAATTTAAATGAAGGTAAAAATAAGTCACAAACTAATCTTTTCAACGTTTAACCACTGGTTTTGTGTTTCCTGTTAAAATTTCATATTATGCAAACAATGTCCAAAACCTCAAAATCACTGTTTTTTACAATAAGATTTTAAAAAATTCAAATAGATAAACTACAAGAATGGAAAACTAACCCCCAACTTTAATAAATCAAATAAAAAAAATTATATATATGTGCATGTGTGTTTATTCTTTTCTTGTAAATGTAAAAATACACTTTATCAGCAATTATTAAGAAACTGAATTATTAATTAATTGCAATTTATTTTTAAACAAATGATAATATCCTACAACATTCTATTACAATCCTTCAGTATTTTCTTTCAAAAATTAGTAGTTTTTTTCAAATATTTAATGAAACAACGACAAGCTATTTGAAAATGTCATCAGTATCACAATAAGAAATTAGAAAGCTACTCAACTAGTAGGAACAAAAAAAAGGTTAAATGAAATACTCAACTACTGTGAAACAATTCAATTAGTAAGTTAGGTTGGAAAACACTCACTATAAAGGGTCAGTTTAAATTTTAATTATAATTGCATACTTTATACCAAATGTTCAACATGGAAGCAACCACACACTGAAATAAAAAATTCTCCTATCACTGAAAAAGATTAGGGTAATGGCCTCTTCTAAAATATAACTATATTATACCCTCGACAGTTCATAAATACAGAGTAAGTTTACAAAATAAACATCATCAATACATTAATCACTGTTACATATTGTAACTCAGAACACCATAATTAATAAACATGTAATATATATAATCATATCCATTTATCAACAGCCATCCTTCACAGTAATGTCCTGACCCATAAAAATGAAAAACTTCAGCTTTGAAAAGACATTCTACAGCCTACTTACACACTTTGTAACAAACAATACATAAAACAATGAAATAATAAAACAGACCAAATAACAGAAGACTGATTTAAACTTGAAGATTTATCCAACTTGCTAATCCTTGGTTCACTAGTTCTCGGTTGATGAAAACAACCTATTAAACAACAAGACAATAATCAGTGAAAAAAACAAAACACACGTAACAAATCAAAAAAAGTTTTATTAGATCCTGGACCTTTTTTTAAAAGCATGGTTATTTCAAAAATCCTTTTAAAATTGTTATTTAATAATTTTCTCTTTCTCTCCTCTCCTTCTTTTTCCCTAAAAAAAAATAACGTGTTTGTGTAATCATTAACAAAACATGGTGACTTGATTTGTTTAATAAAAGTATCTTTTTGCAAATTGAAAAAGAAAAAATATTGCAATATCTTTAGAGGGAGGGATTAAGTTGGAGGCTGAAAATGAATTATTTTCACATATGTTATGAAAAAGCCTTTATTACAAGTTCTAGAAGTGGAATCTGAAAATCTGCTTGACTAATAGAAAACAGTCTTTCTAAATCAGACTCAGCTCTGCTTGATAGATTTGCACCATCCAACAACTAGCACATTTTTGTTGTTGTTACCTTTGTTTTGAGATGAAAATAGTGATGAAAGTCAATGATGGATATGCAAAAATGCATACAAGATGAGAACAATTTACAATGTTTACTAGAACTCAAGGATGGCAGACAAAGGTGGAAAACCTGGCATACGAATTTGGTGATTTTTTCTCAAAAGAACTATGTACTTGCAAGAATTAAATGTTGTGGAAATTTAGTGTTTTTTTCCACTGTTATTAGTGCACAAATATAAGAAATAAGCTATACAGAAGCAATAATGTTAATATTAATTCTACATGAATATCTAAGTATTTACTTAAAATGCACTACATTTTCTATCTTGCTTCACCACTCCCTCTAGACTATGGTACTAATCATGGACTTTGCTGTGCTTGCCTTTAACCTCCAGCTTTTTTCAGCCCTGTAGTTAATGGGACAAACCTTTCTCCATGCAAGAGGCCATGGATTTTCCCACTTGCAGGTGATATAAAAATGGGATTACATTTTATTGTGTTGTTAAGTAATACTGAAATTTTTGCAAACACAAAGATAAGTAATTATACCAACTGAGACACAGAAGAAAACTTTTTTTAAGGCAGACAGAAACTGTTCACCAATTTAAAATGCAATTAGGATCAAGTAACTATAAACACCAAAAACAGATTTTACAACAGTTTTACTTGATCTCAGATCACTATTAAAAGAGCCTTAGTTCTTTTCTTGCCAACCATCTTTGATATATAACTCCAATTATAATCAAGGAAACAAGTATCAAAACTTTAAACATCAATTTTTTTTACTGATAAATATTTTATGCTATACTAATACTCTTAAGTGTAAAATAAAATTTTGCCTTCTTTTAATTATTTTAAACTAGAATTCAATATGTTCACTGTACAAAGTAAATTTCCAAAAACACCTAGGAGACTATAAGACAACACTAGTCAAAAATCTGTCATGCAGAGTGAAAACAAAAAGTTGACACTGATATAATTTCTTTAAATTTGGTTTCTTATTCCTACTAAATAATACTGAATAATCAAATATCTTATAAATTAATCATTTACTTCCAGGAAAGCAGTTTTTGTTGTATATATAACTTATTGATTTTTCTCTTTAACTAAGTAAACAATCTTTAGGCATTTACCTAAATTAAAATCCACTTCTAATTAAAATATTACTTTACTTTGATCTTGCATGCAATATAATGCAACCTATTCCTACATAAGCCTATGCCATCTTATCAAGCTACTGACTTTTGCTAAGTCTTCATAATATACACATCTTAGGTGTAGAAACAAATTCATCAATGATAAAGAATTGAAAAAAATAATGGTAAGATATTATTAAAAGTAAAGTTTTAAAAATATATATTACAATTAAACAACTAATTTTTAAATTATATTCTATAAATATTGAAAATAACATAGAAGATAAACAGGTTTCAAAATTTTTTTACTGAATTTTGTGCAAAGCTACTCAAGGGTTATTTGCACTAGTCATCCGTAATTTAGAAGTGATAGATTAGAGTGAAGGCAGCTAGGCAATATCACTAACCACCAACTCTTGGGGTACTATTTTACCAGCAAAATATAGGATTGATCATCATATTATAATGCTCTCATGGCCAAAATGACAAGGAAGTTTGGTGATGGGATATGATCCTGGGACCTGCAGATTATGAGTTGAGAGCCCTAGCTACCAGGCCATGCTAGGCCAGGTTTCAAAATAAGCTACATATAAATAAATAATAATGCAGAATGTATGTTTCAAGCTAGATCCAAAGGATTTGAATGTTTGAATTAAATTTATAAAAGTAATAATTTTCCTATACTGAAAATGTATTTCCAATAGGTACTTCCCTCCACTCACAAGATTAGCTATTCTCATCTAGTGCTGCCTTCTATATGCAAATTTTTTTCCTTACGCATGCCACAAGCCTTCCTCTCCCCCCTATTGGAATCGAATGATTCCAACATGTCTGTCATGTAAATCATCATGCGTCACTTCTCCACCAATAGGAGCATGACATACGTCACTCATGCAACTCCTTCTATATGCCTCTACCAAATTACCGCTTTGAGGTTTGGCAGAAGACGTAATCACTGGAGGAAAGTGGGGAGGAAGGGTGAGAAGTGTGAGATAAGGGAAGTACCTATAGGAAATACATTTTCAACATAGGAAAATTATAACTTCCGATACGGTATTTCCCTCTTCTCACAAGATTAGCTAGAACCACACATTGATTAGGAGACAGTACCAGTGCGAGGGAATGACAGAAGTACCTCCTGAAAGCATCCAAAGGACACTCCTAGAAATGAGAGAGTCAGATCCAAAGAACTGACAAGGGGAACTGCACCACTTCTAAACCAGGTATACTCTTTGCCCATCCATGAAATGTGTAGTAGATAAGTGTGGTAAAAGAGAGGAGCATAACCAAGTGGGAGAGAACTGTGGCAGGATAGTGATCCTAACCATGTAAGTACATATGTAACTCAATCCCACCAAGTATAAAAGTGAGTAAAACAATGGGCATGCTCTTAGGTGCAGAGTGGGTAGGGCACAACGGACAATACTCGGTAAGTCAACTACATTCAAAACCCATGCCACTGGAAACCACCATCCACACAGGGGGAAGGATGAGAATCATACAGTCTTCATCTCAAGTTAAAGTTGAAGGGAATCTGGAACCACTCTGACTCCTGATCATGACACATGTATTACCTTTAATCGATAGATCCAGGTACCAGACATCCAGTATTGAAAGGATGTTTATATAATATAAATCAACTCCCCCAATGGTAAGTCTGATCAGAACCACCTGAAAAGTAATAACATCCTAAGATTAAGATACAATGAGGGATAGCAAAAAGGACAGAACTGGAACAATCCCCCTTTATCTCTACTGTGACCCACAACACTGAATGAGTATGATCGAGGGAGGAAGGTAAACACCCTATGCATGTGTGAGGACTTATGTTTATTGGTTCTACTCTGAATCTGAAACCAAGCCACAGGGTACCGACACCCACATGGGGGTAGGATGAGGGTGAACTGCACTTTGACATCTCACTCCTTTGTGAATGTATGTTGCATATTGGAGGATATCACATCATCTACACCCACAGAACACTACTGTCCTGTTCTGCACTGGTTATCCAGTTAAATGCACACTGAAATCTGAAGAACTGGCCACAGACAAACATATTAGATGTAGTCCACATGCCCAGCTGTAGGATTTCCTCCAATGACCGATGAAGATGAGAGGAAAGGGAAAAGGTGAGGTGTTGAATTTGATGAGAAGACACCTGGAACAAATTCCGGGAAGAAGAAGCCAGTTGAATCAAAAAGTAATTCCAATTGGTGAGGGTAGAAGGGGAAAGATCCCGAAGAGAGGAAGACTGCAAAAGAATAAGAGCCAGGAATGGGTACCACAGAAGGAAGCTATGAGGGAAATATAAAAAGAAAGAGTACGGACGAGACACAGAAGTCTATCTGGATCGGGACGAGGGTGGAGATGAGAAATATAAGGAAGAGAATAGGCAAAAAGAAGGAGTTACCCTCCCTAGCCACTGTGGTCTTTGGGAGAAAGGAAATATCCGGATAATGGAGAAATAGGTAGGGTGGTAAAGCATATGTGAAACGTCCATGGCAAACAAGTCAGACCTTCGATGTCCACAGGCTACAAGGAGAAGGAAATACATGTAAGAACCTCCACCATTTGAGTCACAGCAGGTCGGTCTGCATGGAAACCCCGAATCACAGACCAACTGCAGAACACTTTCAATAGGTGCTGATACAACTCCACTGAAGAAGGATGTATAGAACAAGCTAAAAGGAAAGCTACTCGATGGGAGAAAACTTGATCTCCTTGCCAAGGTCCAAATAAAACCAGGAGTGAAGACAAAGGATGGAAAAGGCGGATGTAAAAACAGTGACTGAGGTTGACAGACAAAGAAAGAGGTAGTGGAGGGAAAAGTCGTTGGAATTGTGGAACCACAGTGGTGCTGGCCAATAAGGAGCGATCAGAAGGACTCGATACAGAATGGTATGGAGAGAGATCGCGAGAAAATTGAAAGACCACTCTGTTGGATATATAATGTCGAGACGGGAAAGACTATCTGCTACAACATGGAAAGCAACCGTAATGTGATGCGCATAGAGATGAATGTGGTGCATGTGGGCCCAATGTAGTAGATCCAATGTTTGAAAACAAAAATCTATCGACCAGGTGCCTCTTGGGGATTGATATGTGCTACCACCGTAGCACTGTCAGAAAGATTCATCACCAGACAATGTCTGGCAAGAGGAAGGAAGTGATTCCTCGAGGAGCTCGAGGACATTGATATGCGTGAACCGTTCATCTACATAGCAATGACCCACAGCCTCATGGTGATTGACCCATGCACTCCAGCCCTGAAGGAATATGTCTGTGAAAACATGTACACCTGGACAAGGAGGGGGAAGCTGGATTCCTGCCAACATATGGGCCTTGTCCAAACGATGCAGATCATCAATCAGGTTGGAGGAAAGGTAACGGGAGCTGACAGGGGATACCGAGCAAGATTCCATTGATTGTGAAGGACCCACTGATGGGATCACATATGTGCATGACCGAGGGGGACCAGTGATGATAGAACCTCATGAGCAGAAGTGTGGCAAACTAACAGTTCCTTGCAATGAAGTCACACAGGAGAAGGGTGCTTGACTGAGATGAGTGTTGAAAGGGACACCCAAGTGGACAAGATATTGGAGAGGTCAGAGGAAGGACTTCCTCATATTGATGAACCATTCCACCTGAGCAGCCACTAGAAGGAGGTGAAGAGTATAACTGGCTAACTCCCATTTGGAAAGAGCTTGAAGATGCCAGTTGTCCATATAACGGTGGAATTGTGACCTCAAGAGCTTGAAGATGGTGAGCAAAGCTCTGATCACCCGACAGAAAACATAAGAGTCAGAAGCACACCCGAATGGTAAGACACGAAAGTGATAAACCACCTTGTGATGGATGAACAGAAGATACAGATAAGACCATGGTGATAGAGGGATGTTGGGATAAGCATTGGTGACTTCCATCCTGGTTATCCATAAGCCTGAAAAAAAAAAGCCCACCATAGAGTGAGGAATTACTCCATGGTAAAATGGGGTAGTTGAACAAAGCGATTTAAGGGGGAGAATTCGATGACAGGCTTCCAGTCCCCACTGAAATTGGGAACAACATAGAGTTTGGAACAAAAACAAGGGGAAATATGTAGAGCAGGTACAATGGCCTGCAGAGATAGTAGTTCCATAACCACCTCCGTCAGACCCTGGCTGGTCATGCGATCTCGAGATGAAGGGAAGGAACGAGTATAGAAGACACGGGAGGTGGGAAAACGATGGGATCGGGAATCCTTTCGAGAAAACTTGAAGAACCCAAAGATTCATGACGAAAAGATGCCAGGGAAAAATAGAACCAAACCAGAACCCCCCCCCCCCCCCGGTACGTCACCTATACTGTTGGCGACATGAAGGGAATCGTCACAAAAAATGCCTAGATGATACACCCTGAGAAGGGACAGGTAAAATATGGGAAGAGGAGGGATAGGAAACAATAACAGGTGCCCTATTGGGCTCCATCGTAGACAAATAGGCAACAAGGTTGGAAAGGGTAGACTGTTGTTGTATTGATGCCAACCATGATTCTAAAGACTCAGGGACCATGTTAGAGATGTATCGCTGCATAAATGGGGCCATATGTAAATCCCTAAGATAAGATGATGGTAAGTGATTGCAAGTTAAGGTTGCAGCACAACCTAGAAGGTCCCAACAACAAAGAAACCATGGCTATAATGCCAGAGCCAAAGATGACAAAAAAGTCAATGTGGAAGAAGAAGGAAAAGAAAGTCCCCAGAAAACCCCTCAGGATTTCGGTGGAGATCCTCAGAGAAGAGATGGTATGTAGAGAGATACTATAAAGAGGAGGGTAAAAAAAGGTAGGAAATCGGGCATGGGTAAGAATACAGGAGATTTGCACCCCAAACAGCCAAAATGGGCCTAAAAATAGCAGGTCTAGAAAAAGGCTATTCTGCATGATGATATGCAGGAACAAACTGATCCGAAGCCCATGAGGGGTGAGGTGTACCAACCCCACCATGGAATTGTGAGGCAAGTAGTCAACATTAACCCAAATATCCAGGGAAGGGAGAAAGTCAGTAGGGATGGGAAGATTGTTCAGGTAGTAAGGAAGGAAGTGGGTCATAGAAAATTGGTGAAAGGGATAAAACATCACACACCTGAGAAACTACATTGAAAAAGACCTATATTAGGCCTAACTGACTTCTCAGGAGGCATGGCGAAATTAGGAGGTGTAAATGGGTGATCCAAGTCCTTGTCTGCCTGAACAGGCTCAGCTTGTTCTGGACGAAGTGGGGTGAGATCCAGAGAAAGAGGTTGACCCATATAAAGTTCAATCTGCCGGCAAATAAACACAGATAAATCCCCCATCAGGTTGCCCACACCAGAGGCTTGAGACATAGCGCTAGTCACAAGTGTGACTCCCAAAGTGGTATCATAAACATTAGAATTCGTAATGAGGAATAGTGAACCAATACTCGAAAGAATAAATAGCAATGCGATTGTAATAAACTGGGATTAAAGTTGAAGTTAAGAAACAGCCTTAATAAAAACTAGAAGTGAAAATAAATGAAGACCACTTCGTGAGTATACTAAAAATGAACGTGAAATGTTAAACAAACAAAAAGGAACACATTCGAGCACAAGCACTGCCAAATGAGAGGTGATAGTTCATAGAGGCATATAGAATTACTCACATGCTTAATGTATGTCATACTCCTATTGGTGGAGAAGTGAAGCATGATGATTTACATGAGAGACATGTTGGAATCATTCGATTTCCAAAAGGAGGGAGCAGAAGACTTGTGGCAAGTATGAGGAAAAAGTGTGCATATAGAGGGCAGTACTAGACAAAATAGCTAATCTTGTAAGTAGAGGGAAGTACTGTATTAGAAGATAAAATAAATAATTTTTAACATATATTAATTTTCCAAATAAACTGTGAACTAAAATTATCAGTAATCAATCCCAACTTATGGTATAAAACACATTAAATCTCTCAACACACAAGCTCGGTCAATTTGACTGAACCACATGACCTCTTTGTACTCCTTTAAAGTCTTTGTAGATTTAATACTTCTAACTTTCAATATAGTGTGTATATCTTCACAAAATTTGGCATTTCATATTAAGTCTTCCATATACAAAAAAAAACTTTTTTTAGGGAAGTATTTTTAATAAACTAAAATAAAGATTTGTCCATGAATACATTGAGTATTTGTTTTGAATAGTATGTGTGCAAAGCAATTTTCATGTAAAAATTAAAAATACTTTTCCTCATCTCAAATATCCTTTGTGTAATCCCTAAAACCTCCTAAATGCATTTCAAATGTTTTTTTTTTTCTTCAGTAAAACTTTACAGTTCATCTGTTATTTTCTCTACTCTATCTCAAAATGGAATCGGTCAATTCGACTGTCCTCGTAACCTCCACCAAAAAAAAAAAAAATCGAAATAAACCTAAATTACCCTTTTTAGAATGACTTCAAATTGTAACATGAAACTATATTCGTTTATCCTAGGTAGCTCTAAGTTTGTAATTAAATTTTATTGTTTTATTGCCCTTTGAACTGTGTCTAACTACTAATTGCAGCATTATAAGTTGTAAATCACACAGTGAACATACAGCTCATGTTACACTAATGAATTACATTACCCACAAGTTTCTCGCGTGTGTGACTCATGAAACATTTTTATTATAATATTATTATTATTTATTTTACCTAATATTATCTTAACAAACCTAAAAGGATCCCTATTTTTACATTTTAGTTACTTTTATAATTATATGTAAAGAATAAACATGAAAAGCAAGAAAAATAATACTTAACCAATCCTCTTTTTCTTGCTGTTGGTTTTCAAAGAGAGATAACCCTAACTTTTTATATTATAGATAGTAATGCACTTAATGATTTTTATTTAATTAAATAATGCAACAAAGAATATAGTCTAATAACATGCAAAAGTAGACAAATTCTCCTAACTCTCAAGATTTTTCTGGCTTTCTAATTATGTGACAAGAGCCATTACAAATTCATCCAAGCTTGTCGTTAACATTCCCACGGGAACAATGTTGGGTCTGAGTGAAACTGACATCTAACTGTTCAGAACATAACGTTATACAATACATCATTTGATAGATGAAAACCTTGACTTTTTATTGGTTATAGGTAATATATAATGAAACGTAAGAAAGAACTATCAACGAATTCTGAAAGAGAGGATGTAACAGGTGGGTGTAGGCAGGAAGGGCCGATTTTCTAATCGATAGCCCTGTAAGC